ATATATTATCATTTTTATGAAAAAGATGATTACCACCGGTCTTTGCATCAAAATGATGCATGAAGCCATATATGAGCTAGTAATATATCATGAGTATAAAAGCCATATTATTTACCTCCTTGCCAATTGCAACGGGTGCGAGGTTCTGTTTGGTTAGCACCACCCTCTTCGAAGATATCACATGAAATTTTCACTTTTTAGTGCCCCAAATATGTTTGTTATTATCCACTGAAATCGAAAGGGATACATTCGTAAAATAAAATAAAAACTCAGCTTTTTTCACATACTAAATATGATGTTCTCAATGCATTTGCGAGGGCTGCTGTGTTAGTTTGGAAAAGAGGTAATATCACTAGGAGTTATGGAATTTGCATCACATGTGCAATTTGGTGCTAGAACTTTGTAAATATGATTTTTTGATCAAATTTTCTTTTGAACACAGCTTTGTGATCACCTAACTTGACTCAAACATGCAGATACGATCACAAAAATGTATGTGGGCCGTGTGTATGGCCCCACCTGTCAGTGACTGATGGTGCTCGGCCGACACATTTTTGCATTAAAAACCCTCATCTTTTTCTATTTGTGGAAAAAAAATCCAAACACCACGGTGCATTTTTGCACAAAAACTTTCTCTCATTTTTTTATTTGCTGAAAAACTCGCCCATTGTGCTGTTCACAATGCGAACACGAAAAGTAATGCAAAATGGGAGCTGCCAGGTCTCAAACCAAAGACCAACGGATACAACATGCGCAGTTATAGCACCCTACCCTTCACATTTCAATATTCAAACTGGATAACAAAGCTATATGTACTAGGCGAAGATGCATGAGGAGCTTAAATCGGCTCCAGATACAGCGGCCCATTTTGCGCGTGTTCGTTTTTTCTAGAAATTTGTACATGGTATTTAAATTATAATCTCAGTAATAGAAAAAATGTTTAAATATTCATGTGGTACAAATATTGTACACTCAAACGAAATAACTTACTTTAAAAAAATCATGTACTATTTTAAAATATGGATATATTTGCACCAATATTTATGCATCATAAAAAATGTTTTTTATAATTTAGTATAATACAAATATTTTCAAAGTAAAAAATTTAAAACATTATTTTAATTATTCAAACATTTCAATAAATATATGCACATTTGTACAGTTCAATGTTTATATAATTAAATTTACATTTTAAACTGTTGATATGAATGTTCAATCATGTCTAATATTTAAATTATTGTTTTTTAATATAACTCATGAGTAAAATATATAGACAAGTGAATATTCATAAATATTTAGTAATTTTTGTAGTCATAATTTTATATAATTTAAATATAAGCTACGAGCATATAAATTTTTTGAATTCATTGAAAATATTTATTTAATATACATTTCAAATGTTTTTATTAACTAAGATTTTTATATCACACACAGGTTTATATTCAGATATATTTTTTTACTAATCATCTCTTGTATGTATAATATTTTTAACACACAAATATTTGAATATCATTTTATTATTTACGTTTTCCAAATATTTTGAAAAAGGATCTTAAGTGTTTTACTTTTACAAATTTATTACTTAAATTTTACGAAATATTTATTTGGATAATACACAGTTTATATTAAAAAATACTTACTAATCATTTTCTGTATGTATAATAGTTTTACACACAAATATCTGAATATAATTGTACTACTTACGTTTTACAAATAACTTAAAAAGATAGCGCGTGTAAAATGGGCTGCTGTATCTGCAGCCATGACAAGCTCCACATGATCCTCGCTTAATATATACTTCCTCAGTTTCCAAATATTTGTCTTTCTAAAGATTTCAACAAATGACTACATATGAAGCAAAATGAATGAGTATGCACTCTAAAATATGTCTATATACATTCGTATGTTGTAGTCCATTTGAAATGTCTAAAAAAACAAATATTTGGGAACGGAGGGAGTATATAGCTCAAATGTGAATCGTGGAGTGGCTATGCGAGCAGTTGATCTAACATTGGGTCTCTTGTTTGAGTTTTGACGTAGCCCTTTTTGTTTTACTTTTCGCATCATGAGCAGAACAGTAGCCAGTGGGCGACTTTTCTGCAAATAGAAAAAAAAAATCAAGTTCTTTCTGTGCAAAAGTGTGTTGGGGTGGTCAGATTTCTCGAAAATTAAAAAAAATACAAGGGTGTCTTACGCAAAAATGCATAGCCCGAGTGCCCTCACTCAATGACAGGTGGGGCCATACACATGGATACGCCCACATATGCGTTCGTGACCATATTTACACGCTTGAGTCAAGCTATTAAGTGACCATAAAACCGCATTTTCAAAATTTTAGCATTAAACTGAACATGTGATGCAAGTTATGTGACTCTCAATGATATTACCTCTTTGGAAAATGTATAATATAAAAAGCATACTGTTTCCCATGCGCCATTTTATTCTGAAGAAATAAAGAAATATAAAACGCATACTGTTTCCCGTGCCATGTGATAGAAGCAGAGTACGTACACAATATTCTTCACAAAGACGAAAGGATAATATGTAAGAAGAGGGGGAAAAGGCAGCAGGGAGCCAGGGAGAGATCTTACATATGTACAGGCAGTTCAGTTAGGGGACTGCTTATTTGGACTAGTCCACGATGAAAACACAAGAGAAAAAGACGAAGCAATGACAAACAGATGCTAAACCGACTGAAAATGATCACGAACAAAGACGGAGTGGGTTGTGCGCCGCCATGGCACGGGAGGGAGCTTTGACCTCCTGAGCTAACTAGCCTGTGCAGTGCAGACAAACATGGTCGCCGCGACGTACGTCTCATCTGTTGTGCAACGGGTTTGGGCCGGTCGGCACGACATGCTTGTCGTCGTCCTCGTCGCCGTCGCGTGCCCACGCCGCTGCACCACCGGCTTTCTTCTTCCTCTGCTCCTTGCACCGGGCGGCGTCGAAGATGGCCGTTGCGACGACGGCACGGCCGCGGCCGTTGCCCACCGACGCCATCACGGACGACGATGGCACGCCGGCACCGTGGACGGCGACCACGACGACGAGGAGGAGCACGGCGAGCGCGACGAACGCGGCCGCGCTGGCGAGGGGCCGCCTCCCCATTGCGCGTCGCGCGTACGTCGGAGAGTGTGGCCTGGGGCCAGCAGGACTGCAGGAGTGTTGCCTGGTCGCGGCAAATGCTAGTGGGGGAGAAGAAGTTTCTCCTGAATCAAATCCTACTGAATCTATGTTGGCCGGTCACAGGACATTTGGAGTTGCCAGTCGTTTATTTTCGGAGCAATGTTGCCACCCTCTACAAAAGTAAAACCACATTGATCATAATAGTGTACTAAGCCAAACTGAAATTTTGATAAGAAAAAAAATGCCCAAATCCAAATCTCCACAAAATGAACACTAACAAGAAACAGTAAAGAAAGATCGCTGTTGGGAGGTCTACTTCCATCTACATGCCTTGTCAAGTTCACATTCCTTACAAGAGGACTAGACCCATAATGATGGATGCAGTACAGCAACAACAAAATCTTTGTGGGGAACACCTTTCATATGTGCCCACCCTTTTTAATCAGAAGGAAATAAATGATGTTCTCCTTCAACCACAAAAGGAGAAAAAATTTGTCCTGCACAGGTAGTCGCCTTCGTTGTGTCACATTGCCTCCACTGTTGATGCCATCACCTAGGTACAAGCTGAGTTATGCTTCATTTAATTCAAAAGCTTAGCTCGTATAGGAGTACATTTCTTGGTCGTACAAGGCCCATGTCACAAGGACAAAGATGTGTCCAGCGATTTCAGCAACATGGCCGAGCTTGATGTGATACCTTTTCCTTTCAAGAGAAACTGCTTTTATTATTTCTCTTTCAAAACGGTTGCTTTCATCTTCCTTTTTTGGATGAATTGCTTTCATCCTTTTCACCGGTTGATTTCCTTCTCTTGGCTTGAATTTAGTGAGGATTGAACATTGGTAGATTCTTTTCTTTAGAAGTAACATTGCTAGATTTTTTTAGGCAGTCATTCAGAGAGTCCAAAATCTCAGGGCAGGCGTGATCAGGGATATTGCGTGTTTTCTATACTCGATCTGAAACTTCGAGGTGTTCGTTGGCAACTTGATTTGTCCGATGGAAAAGATAGGAAAACACGATGGCTATTTGTTAGCAGCATGTCCTTCTGAAGTGTCAACTGTTCTCAGCTTCTGTTCCTAGAGAGTTGTGGTTCGTTGCATAGCTTTTGTCCCAGTGCGATTAATAGAGAAGCTGACGCATCAGTGTGCGTGCCGATGCCGGACAGCCAGACACTCAAAGCCTGGGGAATTGTCTACACTCTAGACAAGTACTCCTGTCCTCTCGCGTCGCCTCCCACGCGGGCGACTCGGGAAGGCTCCGCCACCGCCTAATCCCTCCAGCGCCCTTCTCC